GCAGCAAAAGAGGCCTGGGCGAAGGACAGCTCTGGCCATGTTGCTGTTGGCCCAGCTGAGCGCTGCAGGGGTGCGCAGGCTGTGTGGGAGCTGGGACTAGTGTGGGGCAGGATCCGTGAGAATAAGGGAAATGGAGTGGTGGAAATTTCCCCTCAAACCACTTTTTCCTCTGCAGCCAGTATCCCTGCAGAGGGGATGTTACCTTAAATGTTTAGGTTGGAGCTGCTTGGGGACCGGGCTGAGGGTCGAAGTGTCAGGTGACAGCAAGGAGAGGAGACTCTTTCATGCTTTCGTTCATTCCAAAGACACAGTCCCAGACTGTGCAGCCTGGGCCCTAAGGAGACCACAGTCTGGGGTGGGGGTCACTGTCCAGGCTGTCAGTGTGTGTTAGGGGACAGGGTGACCCCAGACGAGAGAGGCACTGACCGCCTGGGCAGTCAGGGAGGACATCACAGAGGAGGTGACGTGGAGCTGGCGCCTTAAAGAGGAGCAGGAATTTGCTAGTCGAGAAGGAGAGGGTTGCCCCAGGTGGAAGAAGAGCAGAGGCGAAGGCCTGGAGGAGGGAGAGCAGGGCCACCCTTGTTCATTCAACCCACATGTCCCGTTGGGGACCCCAGATGAGTCAGAGCTGCCCCTGAGGGGTTTCTAGCCTGAAGGAGGAGACATTCTGGGGCCCAGATGGCTACAGCCTTTAGGACAGTGACAGGAGAGATGGAGCCAGGGTGGAAGGAACAGGGGAGAGACCCTCTGCCTGAAGTCATCGGGGGTGGTGACTTCATGGAGGACAGAGCCTGTGCCAGGCCCTGAAGGATGAGTAGGAGATCGCCAGGCAGATAGAGCGGGGAAGTTCCAGGCAGAGGGACCAGCCCACGCCAATGCCTCGGGAAACATTTGTTAAATGGCAGACAGCAGGACAGAGGCAGGAACAAGTAAGAGACAGAGAGAGCTGCAGGGAAGGACGGACGCTCAGCAAACATAACCTGTTCTTCTGAGCTGGGTGATGCTGGGGACCCAGCGCTGAGTCAGACCAGGCCTGCCCGCTGGTCTAGTGGGAAAGGACAGGGACACAGGTGACCACAGCCCTGCGGGCTCGGGGCTAGGACGGCGAGAAGGCACGACCAAGGGAGGCTGCATTAGCTTGCTAGGGCTGCCATAACAACGTACCCCAGACTGGATGGCTTAAACAACAGAAATTTATTTTCTCAAAATTCTGGAAGCTAGAAGTCCAAGGTCAAGGTGTCAGCAGGGTTGGTTTCTTCTGAGACCTCTCTCCTTGGCTTGAGATGGCCGTCAGCTCCCTGTGTCTTCACACGGCCTTCCCTTTGGGCATGTCCCTGTCTCAATCTCGTCTCAATCTCCTCTTCTTATAAGGACCCCAGTCATATTGGATCAGAGCCCACCCTAAGGGCCCTAAGGGTCTCATTTTAAGTTCATTAAAGTTCATTAAAGATCCTATCTCCAAAGACAGTCACGTTCTGAGGTACTGAGGGTTAGGACTTCAACACAGGAATGTTGGGGGACACAGCTCAGCACATAAGAGAGGCCGAGAATGAGCATGGACTCTCTGGGGTGGAGGTGAGGTCAGAGGCCACCCTGGTCTGTGATCAGGAGGGACGTTCGCTAGCTAGGTGGGGAGTAAAGAACCTGAAGGTCTGGACTCCCCGTCAAGCAGAGGGAGATGCCTGGCGTGGCTGAAGAGGAAGTTGCAGAAGTGGCAAGAGATGGGCAGCAGACGGTGACAAGGGTCACACCCTAAAGGCCAGGATGAGGAGCCTGGGCTTTTCTTAGGAGATGGGGAGCCATGGAAGGGTTCAGGGCCAGGCGGGGAGCTCCCGTGGCAATGTGGACACTGGCTGGAGGGGGGGGGGGCTGGGACACGGCTTTCAGGGATGCTGGGAGGGGTGGGATTTAGGGCCACGTCAGGATTTGTGGTTGCCTGGAGCAGGGCCAAGGTCTGGGAGATTTAGAACCAGGATCAGGCAGGACTCCCACGTCTGATGCACCAGAGTCAGGAGGGGGCCTCATCCCCTGGCTCTCTCAGCATCCTTAGCCACTTGCTGCCCCCTTCCCAGTGCCCAGAAACAGGGCCTGAGCTCCTGTAGCATCTGGGCACCTGCACCCCAACCCTCATAAGCTCATGCCTTAATAGGACTATATGCTGGCTTATTATTTTTATTGTTATTAGCTTAAAATTGTATTTATTTATTTGGTTGCACCGGGTCTTAGTTGCGGCAGGCAGGCTCCTTAGTTGAGGCTGGCCGGCTCCTTAGTTGTAGCATGTGGGCTCCTTTAGTTGCAGCTCAAGGGCTCCTTAGTTGCGGCTTGCCGACTCCTTAGTTGCAGCACGTGGGTTCCATTAGTTGCAGCTCAAGGGCTCCTTAGCTGTGGCTTGCCAACTCCTTAGTTGAAGCACATGGGTTCCTTTAGTTGCAGCTCAAGGGCTCCATAGTTGTGGCTCGCAGGCTCCTTAGTTGTGGTTCACAGGCTCCTTAGTTGTGGCATGAGTGTGGGATCTAGTACCCTGGCCAGGGATCGAACTCGGGCCCCCTGCATTGGGAACGTGGAGTCTTAACCACTGCGCCACCAGGGAAGTCCCAACTCAAACTTTTTTTCTTTTTTTGTGAAAACATACCATACATAAAGTGCTCAAATTTTAAGCATACAGCTTGATGAATTTTTACATATGTGTAGACCCACATAACCACCAAACAGAACATTTCCAACCCCTTGCAGGCTTTCTCACACCCTCTCCCGGTTAGCACCCCCCAAAAGGTGCCCACTAATCTGACCTTAATCCCCTGATGTCATCCTGCCTGTTTCTGAGTTTCACATAATTGGAGTCCTCCTGTCTGTCCACTTTTGTGTCTCACGTCTTTACCCTGGTATGTTTGCGAGATTCAGTGTGTGTGATGCAGGAGTTGGTTCTTTTCCCCGGCTGTGGAGTACTTCGTTGTATGGATGTACCGGTGTTGTTGACCCATTCCCGTTAATGGGCCCTTGAGCTCTTTCCGGGGTGGGGGGAGCGGTTATGAAAGCGCTGCTGGGAACACGTGTGCCGGGGGTGGTGATGGTGGGCAGGACGCTCCTTTCTCTTGGATGGGTGCCCGGGAGTGGATGTGCCGGGCCACAGGGAAGGGGCACCGCTCGGCTTTCCTGAATCGTGCTTGTATTGATTTACACTCCCACCAGCAGTGTGTGACCTGGCTTTTTAATCAGGAATTTTAAATCCGAGTGGCGTTCCGTGTCGAGTAATTGCAAAATTTCTGGACTTTTTTTTTTCAGTTGGTGACGCTGTCCCAGCTCTCTCTCTAGCTGGCCTTCTTTGAGTATCTTGGATGTGGAGCACACTAGAGTTGGATAGCTCCTTTGATGGGGTGGGGTCTTGGTGGGGATTTGGAGTGAGCTGTAGGAGAGACTTTAGGGTCAGAGTCAGGGTCAGGAGTAAGGTCTGAGGCCGAGTTGGGAGTTGAGGTCAGATGAAGGACTCGGGTCGTCTGGACAGGAGTTGGGAATCAGGGTGGGCAAAGAGGATTCAGAACGGGTTGGGCAGAAACCCAGATTCGTGCAGGGGTCTAGGACCAGGAAGGGCTGGGTTCAAGTCGGAGTCAGGGTAAGCTTGGGTTGGGGTGACCGTGAGAGATGAGGTGGTGAAAGTCATGACGGGCCCATCAGAGACCGCAGCGATACTGATCAGAAGTGGGAGCCCTGGGGCTTCCCTGGTGGCGCAGTGGTTGAGAGTCCGCCTGCCGATGCAGGGGACGCGGGTTCGTGCCCCGGTCCGGGAGGATCCCACATGCCGCGGAGCGGCTGGGCCCGTGAGCCATGGCTGCTGAGCCTGCGCATCCGGAGCCTGTGCTCAGCAACGGGAGAGGCCGCAGCAGTGAGAGGCCCGCGCACCGCAAAAAAAAAAAAAAAAGAAGTGGGAGCCCTGGAGTCACAAAGACCCAGGTCCGATCAGGGTGCCTCTGCTGCCTCACTGTGTTCTTGGGGAGGTGCCATCCCCCCTGGGGCCTCAGTTTCCTCCTCTGTAAAATGGGGGTAATATTAGCACCAACTGCCGGCATGAGCTCTGAATCATACTTGGCGCTGTGCTTGGCCCTGGTAACACTCACCTCCCCGTGACCAGCATCAGAGAGCCGTGAGGACGGGGGTTTGTCTCCATTGCTTTGTGTCCCCTGCTTGCCACTCCCCTCGGCCACCTTCTTTCATTTCCTCTGCCCGCAGAACGATAGGGTGGGATTGCGTCTGTAGGTGCAGGGACTGTAGGTTGGATTGGGGTGTGCAGCTGCAATTCAAGGCTGAAGTCCCAGGTAAGGTCTAAGATTAGGTTTGAGGACAAGGTCGGGGCAGAAGCGGATGGGGTCAGGGTCACAGAGATCAGAGTGGGGCCGCCTGTGTGCTGAGTACCTGAAGGGGAGGCCGGTGGGAGTGGGGTATGGACAGGAAAGTGGTGGGCTGGGGAGGGGGCCAGAGGGCGGCTGAATCACAGCCGGAGATCTGACAACTCGTTCCTTTGGGGATGCTGCAGTCCCCTCACACCTCCCAGGCCCTACTCAGAGTGGAAAACATGCCTCACCGAAACCTGGTGAGGCAGGATGGGCGCCTGGGCGGCAGCCTGAGAGGAAGCCTAAGGCTGACTCGCTGCTCTGGAGCGTCACCAGCCTCCCCCTGGGTGGCCAGAGCCTTGTCAGGACCAATGGCCAACCTCTACCCTCCCACCCTGCCCCGGGGTCTCACGGGGGCTCGGGGGCTGACCCTCCCTGTGCCACCTCCTGGAGGGGTTGAAGGGGATCCCCAGGGCCCGAAGGCCCCTCACCTGTCCTGCCGGAGGAGAGCAGAGGCTCAGAGCAGAGGGCATGTCTCCCGGAAAGAGACACTTGCAAGGCGGCAGGGGGTGTGGGAGTATTTGGGGAGAGGCTGGGGTGGTGCCGGAGGAGGGGCCCCAGAGCTCTTCAGGCTTCTGCACCCTCACCCCACTTGCATCCCTCCTCTGTCCCCAGAAATAAGAATGTCTAAGCCCCTGGAGGCCGAGAAGCAAGGTCTGGACTCCCCGTCAGAGCACACAGGTGAGTGGGGAAGGGGGCAGGGAGGGCAGAGGTCACCACAGGCGGAGGGCAGGTGCGCCGGGGGAGTTTTGGGGGTGGCTCGTGACAACTCACTCTGTCCCTCTCCTTGCAGACACGGAAAGAAATGGACCAGACACTAACCATCAGGTCAGGAAGGATGGATGTGCAGGAGGGTGGGGAGGGGGAGGGGGAGGGGGAGGGGGGAGAAGGGAGCAGAGGGGAGCTCTGTGGGGGAGGGCAGGGTGTCAGAAGCTGCTTCATCTCACTGTTCCCATCTCCCACCCCAACTCACTCTTTGCAGAACCCCCAGAATAAGACCTCCCCGTTCTCTGTGTCCCCGACTGGCCCCAGCACCAAGGTAAGCACCTGTCAGGGCAGCCAGGGCAGGGGGAGAGGTGTCCTGCAATGGGCCGGGTTTGGCATTTGGGAGAGGGTCCCAGATGCCTGCCGAGGGCCCAGGGCCTGGTACCTCGGTGACGGGACTCCTCCCGCCGCCCCTTCTCACCCTCGGGCTCCCGCCCCAGGCCTGTGACTCACCAGGGCTCCTTCCCCTTCCCTGGGGGAGTGGGGGTGGCCAGGGAAATCCCCCCCAGAGCCCCAGGGCGATGAACAACAGGAAGCTGAGGGCCCCGCCCCCATCCCAACGTCCCTGACCGAACAGGGGCCGGCCCCGCCCCCCATCCCCCCCAGCACACACTCAGGGGCCAGCGGAGGACTGGGGAGTGGGGAGGGGAGGGCAGGCCCAGTGAGGATGCTGGAGGAGAGGACGATGGGGGGGCCGGAAGTGACCATGTAGAGCAAATGCCAGACCCAGATGGGGCCCTGCTCCTGGGCACTGCTGGGCTGCCTGGGGTGTCTGGGGCCCAGGTCTCCACCCTCCAGTCTGGCGGGGGCAGCCAGCAGGTCCAGAGGCCTGAAGATGGCGCAGAGGTCAGGGACAGAGGAGGGGGCACGGGCAGGACTCCTGACCCTGACCAAAGGTGGCAGAAGGATGGGGCGGGGGCACCAGGAACTGCTCTGTGACCATGGGAGAATCACTCCCCCACTCTGGGCTTCTCGGTTTCCTCTTCTCTAACATGGGAAATGGGGGTGGGGATGGAGAGGGGGGTCTCTGAGGTCCCTTCCGTGGCTGGTGTGCCTTGATCTGCTTGCTGGGCAGGTGTCTTGTTCTGAGGGCGCTGGACGGGACCTGGGGAGAAGGGCTCTGACTCTGACCGTCTTCCCTCTGATCTCAGGCTGGGCTCTGGCCATAGCCCTTGGAGCCGAGGGCATCCATCACCCACACCCCCAGCACCAGCCCTCCCTCAGCTGAATCTTTGCAGCCTCTCCTTGCTCCACAGCAGCCCTGCTTCTCCCCTAGGAGACTAGTGGGGCCCAAGGAAGAAAGGTCTCTCGCTCCCCTTCCCCAGCCTGGGCCTGCTTCCCGGGGAAAGCCTGAGGCAGAGAGCGCAGCAGCGGCCTCTGACTCTGGGTCTCCATCCACAGCTGGTCTCCACTCCTGGCCTTTGCTGTTCCACCTCACTGCATCTCTTCTGTGTCAGTCTTTCCCTAATTGCAGTGATTCATGTGCTTCCATCATGATTTCAGACAAATGCACACACCGCCGTGTTCAATTATTTACATCATAGTTTTGTTAAATTGGCTCAATTAAAAAAAAGCATTTTATTATGGAAAGTGTGAAGCAGATACAAAAGTAGAAGGAAGACCATAGCGAAAACAAACCTCCAGGTACCTGTCAATCGGCCTCAACAATTATCAACTCATGAGCTGTCTTGCTTTTTCAGCAGCTGAAATAAAACGTTTTTTTAAATGGAAATTTCATGAATGGAAAACCAGAATCACTTGCCATGGAAATAAATACAATGATTATTAAAATGTACCCAGAGACTCTTGCCTACTGTCGGGTATAAGCCTGAGACCGGTTCTCTGTTTGTTAAAAGGGGCGATTAGCCAGGGCTGGAAGGTGTTAGAGACGTCCTAGAACCTAATGGAGGCTTAAAAGAGAGAGAAGGAAAGAGCCATGAGGGGGTAGTGTTCTCACCATGGCACGCAATGTTGGGGTTTTTTTTTTGCGGTACGCGGGCCTCTCACTGCTGTGGCCTCTTCCCGTTGCGGACGCGCAGGCTCCGGACGCGCAGGCTCAGCGGCCATGGCTCACGGGCCCAGCCGCTCCGCAGCACTTGGGATCTTCCCGGATCGGGGCACGAACCCGTGTCCCCTGCATCGGCAGGCGGACTCTCAACCACTGCGCCACCAGGGAAGCCCACAATGTTGATTTTTTAAAAACTTTTAATTAAAATATGACATACACTTAGATCCTCAGTGTCCAGCTCTGTGGATTTTCACAAATTGGACACCTGTGTCACCAGCACCAGATCAAGAAACATAACACGATCAGACTTCCAGAAAGCCCTTCATTTCCCCTCCAGGGCAGCCACTGCCCTGACTTCTAGTATCTACTGTTGTTTCACGCTGCATCCCTGTACGCCTTAGACTTTCTGACACTTGTATCCCGTCCCTTGGGGCATGCCACTCACCCTCTGTTATTTGGCCCTTTCCCAGGCCTCTGTCTGTCTGTCTCAGTCTGTATTGCAAATGCCACGCTCGCTTCTGCCAAGTCACTGTGTTGCCTTACACAAGATGCTTTCCCTCTCTGGATCTCCTTTTGCAAAACACTGTTGGGACACTGGGCTGAAGGATGATCCCTCATGTCCCCTCTGGGCCTGAGAGTGTGCAACTCATCAAGCCACACCTCCCACCCCATGTGTCTTTCACCAGCAGACCTCTCAGGCAAGGCCACCATTGTCTGGTATTTTCAGGTAGGAGAGGAAGAAGGCTGGGACCCCTCTAGGCTGGTCTGTCCTACGTGGTGGACGCGAGATGCATCTGTATCCTCCACAGAGAGAGGAGGAAGGGCTCAGCGGACTCTGGGGTGGACGCTGAGAGCTGGCAGCACCTGGGCCACATCTGGCCTGCAGACATCCTTTGCTGTCCTGCAGCATTTTTGCTTTGGTTTTTTTGCCGGCAGAAGCAGGGTGGGGCTGGGCAGGCCTCCCCTTCCGGCAGGCGGGCGTACTCTTTTCAGCCCACTCCGTCCACACTTGCCCAAATCACCCATTTGTGCTGTCTGCCTGCTCCTTAGGCTTTGAATTCATGACCCATATTCTAAGGCGGTGATTTTTATTTCATGCCCTAATCCTCTTTCTTCCAATAAAGTCTTACTCCACTGGACAGATAAGAGGTGCATCTCTGGCTGAAGCAGATGAGAGGTGTGGCACACAGGACTCCCTCCTTTGATGTCCCGGGGCCCCTACTGGCATCCTTTCCCATTTTAAAAGATGGTGAACTGACCCCCAGTAGGGTAAAAGCGCTCTCCAAGGGTGACCCCCTCCTGTCGGGAGTTCGGGTGCAGAGGGTGTGTTAGCCTTTTCTGACTGGTGCGGAAACTGAGGCCAGAAAGGTGGCCCGAGGTCCCCGCGGGCCACTGCAGGCCCGGCCTCCGCACCCCAGTCTTCTCCCTTGGCGGCGCGGGGCTGCCGTTGCCACACACGTGCCCTCTCTTTGGTTCACAGGTGGGCATTCTCTCTGGCCTCCACTTAACATTCTGGGGTCCCGGACCCTGCCTCTCTCCCCCCCAGATCAAGGCTGAAGACCCCAGCAGTGACTCAGCCCCAGCGGCACCCCTGCCCCCCCAGCCGGTTCAGCCGCATCTGCCCCAGGCCCAACTCATGTTGACGGGCAGCCAGCTAGCCGGGGTAAGTACTTGGGGTGCACGGGGGCAGGGACAGGCCAGCCCCCTCCCGTCTGTTACAGGACTGGTGGCCACGGCCACGGCCACGGCCACTCTCTCAACGCCTGCCTCTCGCCCTCCTCTGTCCTCCTGGAAGACCTGCCCCCTAACCCGCTTGGCTCAGGCGCTAACCCCTGTCTGCTTTCTCTGCTCCCCCCACGCCCCTCCTCCGGCCCCTGCCGCCCCGCCCCCGCCCCGCCCCGCCCACAGCTCACGGCGCTGATGCCAGCCCAGCAGCAGCTCCTCCTGCAGCAAGCGCAGGCCCAGCTCCTGGCCGCCGCGGCCGCCGCCGCCTCCTCCTCCTCCTCCTCCTCTTCCTCCTCCTCCTCGACCTCGCAGCCCCCAGCCTCCTCCGGGGGAGGCGACCTGCCGCCACCACAGCCTGCCAGCCAGCCCCCCGGGACCCCACAGCTCACCCTGTCCCAACCCATCCAGCTCACAGCACAGGTAAGGGCAGCCCCGGGGAGCACACGCCCTCCAGCGGAGGCCCCGCGGAAGCCGAGCCGGTGCAGGGGGCCGGCCGGTCCACGCGGACCGTTCTGACCACCAGCGCTGGGCCAGGCGGTCCCCGGCAACCCCAGGAAGCCTCGGGAGATGCTGCCACCCATCTCTCAGAGGGGTAAAGCGAGGCTCAGGGGGAGGACACCCTCCATGCGATGGGCGCGCCTGACTCTCTGCTTTCTGTGCATCTCGCTGAGGGTCCGCAGCCACCTGGGAGGCTGACACATTATCCTCAGTTTACAGCAGAGGAAACCAGGGGTCACCTCCATGCACAGGACCTGTGTGGCTACAAAAGAAAGGCTGAGAATCAGAATCGGTGCCCCACATCGAGTGCCCTGGCTCATCCAGTGAGACGCTCTTTCAGAAAGGGGCCTGTGGTCTATGAGTTAGGAAACACTGCCTTCTCTCTCCCCATTCTGGAGACTTCTGGTCTATGTGGAATCATGCATGAGTGGCTGTATTAGCTTCCAGGGCTGCCATAACAAAGTATCACAAACTGGGTGGCTTCAAACAACAGAAATGTATCATCTCAGACCAGAAGTCCAAAATCAAGGTGTCAGCAGAGCTGGGGTCTCTCTCAAGGCTCTACGGGAGAATCCCTCTTTGCCTCTTCTCGCTTCTGGTGGTGCAGGAAACCGTTGGCTTTCTCGTAGATGGATGACTCCCGTCTCTGCCTCTGCCGTCATGTGGCCATCTTTTCTCTGAGTGTGTCTGTCTCTGTGTCCAAATTTCCCCTTCTTATAAGGACACCAGTCATTGGATTAGGGTCCACCCTAATGACCTCCTTTTAACTTGATTACATCTGCAAAGACCTCGTTTCCAAACAAGGTCATGTTTATAGGCACCAGGGGTTAGAACTCCTACCATTTCTTTCTTTTTTTTTTTTTTTTTTTTTAATGGCCGCACCTTGCGGCATGTGGGATCTTAGCTCCCCGACAAGGGATCGAACCCGTGCCCCCTGCAGTGGAAGCATGGAGTCTTAGCTGCTGGACCACCAGGGAAGTCCCCTACCATATCTTTTTAGGGGACACAATTCAACCATGATATTGGCCAACAGACTTCCCGTAAGGATGGTTGGCGGGAGCAGAGTAGAGGCTGGGCAGGCCTCCTCTTCCGACAGGCTGTTTTTTCCAGCCCACCCCTTCCTTCCACCCCTGCCATGTCACCCATTTGTGCTGTTAACCTGGTTTCCATAGAGCGTTTGAGTCTGTGGCCCGTGTTCCAGCGCAGTGAAGGGCCTGGCAAGTCCTACAGCGAGGGATTGGCCTATGCTGTCTACACCAGGGAGCTGTCCAGCACCCGCAAGGCTGTTCCCTTGGCAGCGGTCGGCCTTCGATGGGCCCGTTCCACTGCTGACCAGCACTCCCATTTGGGGCTGTCCTTAACACTGAGTGCGTCTCTGTCTCCTTAGAGCTTCCTGCCGCTGGGCCTGGCTCTGCAGAAACGCAGAGCAATCTGGCCTCGCTGCTTTGCAGCGACTCTTCCAAACAGATCCTTCCAATGCCCGGCTTGCCACTGTTGCCATAGGTAGTCTGTCGGGTGCTGCCTTTGTACCAGGCACTATGCTAACGTGACCTCCCTGAATCCACAAATCCTCATCCTGGCCAAGGCGCTGGTGGGGGGTGGGGGAGGAGCGGGCGTGCAGGGGAGGCAAAGTGACTTGCCTGCCCCAGGTCACACCGTGAGCTCAAGTGGCAGAGCCAGCCTGGAAGCCAGGCCTGGGAGTCCAGGGCTCTAACCACGTGATCTGGGGCTGCTGCCTCTAACTGGCACCCCTCCCACCCTTGGCCACCAGAGACCCCAGCAGCCGGTGATCTGTTTGCTTTGTAGCACACACGGCGCTTCATTGAGCAAGGTGGAGGCTCAGGGCTCCTCCAGTCTTGGTGTTCCTGCGCCTGTTCTCCTTTCTACCTGGAAGTCAGCCCCCTCCCTTTACCTGGAGAGCTCCTCTCTATCCTTTAAGCCCCAGCTTGGGAGCCTGCACCTCCAGGAAGTCTTCCATGACTTCCCTCCCTCCAGCTGGTTTGATTTCCTGCCTCCTGTCTCCTCTGGGGGCCCCCAGCCCATTGCCTCTCCTTCTGCCACAGCCCTGATCACCCAGGGCTGTGTCCACATATGCCCTCAGAAATGTCTGTTCAAGGAGCACAGGCTACAGGGAGGGAGGAGGGACGGGGCAGCCTAGCGCAGACCCAGCCAGGCCCTCAGCCCCTGTGACCAGCAGGCACTCCTTCTGTTCATACACTCCCCAGAACCACCTCTTCCGGACCCCCTACGGACACCAGCAGCAGCAGGCCGACCCTCTGCCACCTGTAACCTGCCCAGGCCCTGATTCTCAAGGTCCCCTCGAATCCCTCCTGCCCAGCCCTTTCCTCTCTCTCCTCCTGCCCCAGCTTCCCTCAGCTCTGATCTCCATCTGTCTCCTGCAAGTGCAAAGCTGGGCTGAAGTTGTTTTCTGGGAGTTCTGTCACCCTGTGGTCTCACTTCCCCAACAGACCAATGTTTATCCCGTACAGCCCATGAGCCGGTCACCATGCTGTGCCCAGGCCGGGGTGGGGACCACCGTCCTTCTGCCCTCGCTGCCCGCTGCAGCCACAGCCGGCCTCGGCCCTGGGCTTGACCCTCTCCCCAGCCTGTGTCGCGTGCCTGCCAGTGCAACTGCCTGTGCCTGCCCAGCTCTGTCCTGCCCTCGTTTCGCAGACACTTCCCGCCTCCTGGGTCAGGCCCTGGTGGGAAGCAGGCATGACTCAGACCCAGCCTTGTCCCCAGAGGGGCTCCCTGTCTTGTAGGGAAACAGACACACCAATGAGCCACTAAGAAATGCTTTACTTGAAAAATAATACGAAAGTCAAAAAGCATCCATAACCCTATCACTTTAAAATTATATAAAGTACGAAGGGAAAGTCCCCCTTCTGTCCTTCTATTGCCAACTTCCAAAGGAACATCGGTCAGTTTGGCAGGAACCTTCCCTGCATTTCCCTAGCCTGTACAGAAGGGACAGTTACAATACAATTTTACCACTGACTTTTATTTATTTTTTTTTGGCTGCGCCCCTTGCCTTGTGGGATCGTAGTTCCCTGACCAGGGATCGAACCCAGGCCCTCGGCAGTGAAAGCACAGAGTCCTAACCACTGGACCGCCAGGGAAGTCCTTATAATACAGGTTTACAATTTGTGTGTCCAGCACTCAACTCAGCATGATGCTTTCTACCGAGGGGGCCACACAGACGTTTACTGAAGCAATGAGGGATGTTTTGCTGCAGCTTTTCAGTCAAGGGTAGGGAAGACATCTCTCCAGGGGAGTAATTCAGAATGCCTGGGGTAGGGTAGGCATTGACTGAAAATTTACATTAACTGTTAAAACATCATTTTGTATTTGGAGAGCGGCGGCGGTGGGGGCGGGGAGGAACGTCCCTATTTTCGTAATAAGACCACGGCAAATAAAGCTTGAGAAGATCTTTCAGGGGGTAGGACCTAGTGAAGAAGGGTTTCCCAGAGAAACCTGCTGGATGTGGTGGGGGATGCGGGAAAAGAAAGGGGTCTGTGTCTGAGGGAGTCAGGGAAGGCTTCCTGGAGGAGGTGGTATCTGAACCGAGGCGGGAAACAAGTAGGAGTTTACCAGGTGGATGAGCTGGGGAAAGGGTTCCAGGCGTGGGACTGGTGAAGGCAAAGCGAGAGAGCAGGGCAGGCTTGGGGAGGTGAGGGGTGGGAGGCAGCAAAGGATGAGCCAGGAGCGGGTGTCAGTGGGGCCACAGCCACACTCTAGGCAGCTGAAGAGGAAAAGGGACTGTTTGGCTCAAATCACAGAAAAGGCCCAGCCTGGAACGTCAGGCCTGGCCCCAGGGATCTGTCTCCCTTTTCATTCTGGGTCGGGCATAATGGGTACCAGCACTTCAAGACTTGCAGCCACCCCACCCAGGGAGAAAAAACACACCCAGTGGCCAGGTTTGAGTCGTTGCTCCCAACTCCCGGGAGGGTGGGGTCAGCCCCACCTGGACTGCGTGACCTGAGAGTGGGGGAGGGCAGGTCCCCAAGAGGAGGAGATGGGTCCTGCTGCTGGAGCAGGGGCGGGGGATGCCAGGTCAGCTCAGCCGCCCACCTGGCACCACAGGCCCCAGAGTCCAGGAGCTGGGCCGGTCCAGAGGCATGCCAGTCACTCCAGGACTCCTGGGTTGGGATCTGCTGTTGCTCATCTGTCCTGAAATTTTAGCATGAGGTAGCATGGAATGTAATGTGCAATTGGCAGGTAGGTGTTTTTTTCTCCCTGTTGAATGGTTCTCTGCTCCACGGTGTTCTGCCCCAGTCGCCAGGACCTCGTGGGCTCCATGTGGCAGGGCCAACCTCTGGGGGACGGGGATACGTAGCAGATCCGACGCTAGAGACAGGCTACCTCTGTCCACCCCCCACCTCCAACCTTTAGAGCTTCCCCTAGTGGAGGGACTGGAATAATCATAGTCATTTATTCATT